GCAGCACACATGTCAGCAGTGTGGAAGCATTTAAAACTGTCCGAGACAGACGCAAAAATCATTACAAGCACCGACAGCGAGAGACTGTTTAGTACTGCAGCGCATGTCTTCGATGAAAAGTGGAAGGGGTGATTGTTGCAGAGCGTTATGTTTTCTAATACACGCACGCATTGCATGTATTCTGACAGCGCTGCAAGAACTCACCGCGCTATCTGCTTGTTAACCAGGGTTCAAAGTCCAAAGCCCGAGGAAAATCTGCGCTGAAACCGTGTTACTCGTCAGTTGCTCAGTCACATTTTAAATAATTTTTACAAGGTATGTGACAATGCAATACATACGACGTATTCGTAATGAGACTCCTTTATAAATCTGTTGTCAACAAAAAGAAGCATTGAGGTCTTCCTGCAAGTTTCCGCCAAAATAAATGTTGAGAAAAAGCAAGAACTCTATCAATATTCATAAATGTTAGTATTGTAATTTTACTGTTGTTCTGTAAAATAAAATAAAAAGACAATAATAAATATAGCTGCAAGCAGCAATTGCGGGGCCAAGCACTCCAGAGGCAAAATGAGGAACTAAGCATGGCATGTAGCATCAGACCAACTGCAACAATGAGCAATTAAAGATGTTTTAGAATGAATGTAGTTGAAATGGCTGAAAATTTTTTTTTAATGAAAAATCATAAATACAACCACTAGAAATATGCCTTAAGGAATTATCACTTTTGACCAATAGGTGGCGCTGTTATCAAATCGATGTGTTGTGTTCTGTGTGAGTTGACAATGGCACACACAGAGTTTGCTGTTAGTATGTCAAAGCTTCGAGGAGATACAGCCTCAGATGCAGTTTGGCATCATACCTTAAATTTTTTGCGGCGCTATACAAAAATGTATCAACACAAAATCTAGGAGGAGTTTGAAAAAGTAAGTTTTCAACATAAATCAAAATGGCGGACAGGAAGTTCGGCCGACTGTAGCAAAATTGGTATCCATGTTCTCGGCATAACACATGGAGCATTTTGAGACCAGTTTAATTACAATAGACTAATTTAATGAAAAGTTATTAGAATTTATGGACAATTCATAATTAATGGTTAATGAATGGTTTATTACTTTTGACCAATAGGTGGCGCTGTTACCAAATTGATGTGGCCGGGTCAGTGTGAGGTGACAATGGCACATACAAAGTTTGGTGTAAAAATGTCAAAGCTTTGCAGAGATACAGCCTCAGATGCAGTTTGGCA